TAAGTTAGATGGAGTATTGAGCCCATTTCCTGTATAAAAAAATATATATATATATATATATAATACAATAGAAAGAATAGAATGGAATAGAATAAAATAACCATGCTAAAGGAGGAGGTATGCCCAGGTAAAAGTGCTCATTTCAACAACTAGCGGCCATGTAACATACTTTTGTCTGAGACAAGTGGAAATCTGCCAGCAATTTCTGGAAGAGTCTGACATGTAGCTATGAACATCACCCATATGAGTCCATCTGCTTTTTTCTTCATGTCTAGAATTCAAATCCACCTCCTAGAAGTGCATTCATTCTTTCAATGTGTATTTACTGAGCAGCTCTTACCCGTATGTTCTAGGCACTAAGTGCCAGTGATACAGCAGTGAGTGAGATGGGAGTCCCTGTCCTCATGATGCTCACAGTCTAGGCTGGGGAGAAAGACACTAAACAGGGAGAACATGATGCATAACAGATGCTGATCAGTGCAGTAGTGAAAGAGAAAGCTAAGGATTTCCAGCCACTGAGTAGGGGGTGTATGTGCACTTTTAAAGCCCTCACGAAGAGGTGGTATCGAGCACATTCATGAAAAATGATGTAGACCATGAAGCTATTTGGAGGAAGAAAACTCAGGAAAGAAGAGAAAATGCAAACTAAGCATGGGACTGTGCCAGGCTTGTTAGAGAAGCAGCAGCCACATTGCAACCCTGAGACAACAGGCATGACATTTGAAGGCTGGTGGAGTGAAAGACAGAGAGACTCAACCCCCTAATGAGGTTTGCAGGCTGCACTTACCTGGGCCTGGCCATGTTTGCACTTCCAGTGGCTCCAGACAAACTCATGGCTTTAAGCCAGTGTTATGGAAATTTGCCAGAAATCTGCATTTTCATTTTGTCTTGTGTTTGGTTTTTTGCCTTTTTTTTGAGACAGGGTCTCTCTATGCAGTTCAGACTGGCCTTGAGCTCACTTTGTAGCCCAGGCTGGTCTCGAACTCGCAAGGATCCTCCTGCTTCAGCCTTCCAAGCACTGGGATTGCAGGCGTGTGCTACCACACCCGGATGTTTTGGTTTTTTTGAGACAGAGTCTCACTATGTAGCCCAGGCTGGCCTTATTATGTAGCCCAGACTAGCTTCCAATTCACAGCAATCCCCTTGCCTCAGCCTCCCAATTGCTTGGATTACAGTGTGTGCCATGACACCTGGCAGAAATCTGCCTTTTAAATAAACACCTTTGGGGCTGGGCGTGGTGGCCCATGTATATAATCTCAGCACTTGGGAGGCTGAGACAGGAGGATCTCTACAAGTTCAAGGCCAGCCTGGGCTACAAAGTGAGCTCAAGGTCAGCCTGAACTGCATAGGGAGGCCCTGTTCCAAAAAGACTAAATACATAAAGAAATAAATAAATAAACAAGCACCTTTGGATAATTCCAATGAACACTCGCTGATGTCTGAGAATCTCAGTTCCAGCCCTTAGTTATTCAGAGTGATGTTCCCAGTGAGTCTGCCTTCACCAAGCAAGGGCACTAGGCCTTCTGCCTGTGGACTAGAATCACACCTAGGGATGGTAGAAGCAGAGGACACAGGATGCCACCCTGCCTGGGGGCCAGAAAACCAAAGTGATTGTAGGTTAATGCCCAAAGCTTTCCTTTTGCAATAAGGAAAAGCAGGCCAAGAATAGGCCAGTGATTTCTGAAAGTCACAGGAATGGTTAGCAGCGGAGACAGACTGGAAAGGTGTACAGACTTACTCATCAAACACGTGCTTTCTGGTTCTGGATGTGGGTTAATTTTTTAAAATAATCAAGGCAACCCATTCTGGACCCCTCCTGTCTCTCAGGAGCTAGTCCTATTCCCCATTCATATTTCCCACTCCTTTTACCAATAAATTTTCCTACTCTTAACCTCCGTTGTTCTTTAGAATTTAT